TATTTTTTATAAAAATATTAGGATCTGACTGAGGAAAATAGGATAAATGAAAGCTGCACATATGAATGTTGTAAATCATTTGCACATAGATACATATGTCTGATTACATCCATTAATCTGATGTTATATACATCTGTTACATTATTTTCAATGTATCCAAATGCACAGTTTGAAAATGCTCATTTAGCAGGATCCCTCTTACCATAGTACAAAATGGAAATGTAAAATAAAGATGAAGTCAGATTGGCAGATAGTTAAGGAGGGAAGTGAGGGTACTCCAAGACATGATGGGATTAGAGCCGATGTCAGCAGACATCACACTGAAACAGTGAGTGTAGTTCTGAATTAGTTAATGTGGAAATATATTAGGGATGTAAGTTAGACTGGTACAATCACTTGCAATTTTATGCTACACATTGAAAGCATTTGGAGAGAGGGTGACACAATGATTAACTATAAAATATGACCTATTTTAATTTGGAAGGACGTTGGCATGTGCTCATGGCTGAGTGAGCTGCAGTGCAAAGCTGGAAACCGACAGCAGGCCAGAGACTTGTCCTAGATAAAGGCCGTGTTTTCAGCATGAACAACCAGGGAATCTCTCAAATAGAAAATGATACTCTTGTCCAATTCTGCTGCATAATGAATAAATACGGACAGCAAGAACATATGCTGTTGTCCTGAAAATGGTGACAAACCAGGAATATGAAAAACACAGAGGAGTCAGGGCTCCAATTCTCCGAAAGTAAAAGGGACGGAGAGAGATTTGAAGGACCTGCCAAGAAAAGTGTTTGAAGCATCAGTAGTCTATGACTTGCATATGAGGGGGAGAAGTATGCCTGAGAAAATATGAACAATAAAGGAATAACCAAATGTTTTTTAAATTGTTAAGAACATTGAATTAGTTAGGGTTTCTATTGCTGTAGTAAAACAGCGTAACCAAAAACAACTCGGGGATGAGTTGTTACAGCACCTAGGACCGCTAGCGAAGAGGAGATACCATCCCCAGTAATCTGGACCCTCTCACATCTATTATTAATCAAGAAACTATACCTCTAAAGACTTCCTATAGGCCAATCTTATGGAGGCATTTTCTCAAACCACCGTCCCTCTTCCTAAAAACTCTAGCTACTGTCAAGTAGACAAAAACTAAGCAGCACAAATACTTAACATATTTTGTTATTGTTTGACTTCAATTACTCATTGAGACTTCATTGTAAAAACGTATTTTTCATATATTTTGTTTTTATTCAGACACACAAATTCTAAACCTCTCTCTCCTGGCATATCATTGATATAACAGAAATAAGTTCTGATTTTGTGTTGCTTCAAAGAATAGGCATGAAATTTGATCAATTTTAGTCCCCCTCCCTTAATACAAGAGAGCTCTTCTGCTTAGAGACCCCACCCCTGAAAGCACACATTTCCACTGTGGAGGGCTTCCCATATTTGACTTGAAAGGCAAGGAGACAGCCTTCCTTACTCAACTTCCCTGGCTCCCTTCCAGTTCTTCCTCTCTGCTCACACATCCAAATCCCACTACTGCTGGTCACCTAGGCAACACAATGGCTTGTAGGATGGTATAGGTCACAGATTCCCAGGAGGGGAAGGAGTTGCAAAGCATTAAGACATATTTTATCCATCTCAGAAATGTCTCTGTCCCTTCTACCTATATAATTTCTCCTTTCTTTTAGACCCTGCTTCGCTCATGTCTAACGAGTCTCGTTGGCAATGGCTTCCCTGTGTACAATTGAAATTGCTCAGGGGTTGACACTCGCAACCCTAGTATTGAACTGTCCCATGCTTCTCCACTGCTTTCTAGAGAAATACGATACTCATGGAACATGGCAGAAACCTGCCATGGATTTTCCTCCACATGCCCAAGTTTCAGCTACACTGAACACGGGATTCCTCCCTCTCTCATCAAGACTTTTCTTTTTCCACATTCCTGTGTCGTGGGCCCCTTCATTTTCCATGAAATCACTCTTTATTTGATGTAACCCTTCCTTCACCTTAGAGACAGAGTTGGGGTTCAGTCTTCTGAGTTACCAGGGCATTCTTCACTGATCTCTCCTTCCTAATTAGTTGTGTGTTTATTTTTTTTTAGGAGAAAAATGAATCTTTTTATTTGCTTTAAAAAGTTTTGGGTTTTTTTTAATTAGCCTAAAATGAGTTGGGTTTTATTATGACCTTTGTCAAAAAAGATTTTGGGTTATTATTTCTCTTCCCTGCTTTTTCCTCACCTCTGCACTCCCTGTACTATCTCACCCCATGGCATCTCCTACTTTGTGTCATATGCAGCCTTGGGTACCCTCATCCCTTTCTCTACACTTCTTGTTCCCTCTTTGGGTTGCCTATCTGGTTTCATAGTCTATACCCACTCTCACAAGCCAATACCTACATACATACAACATTAAACATCTGATTACACGAGAGAACATGTGAGTTTTGTTTTTCTGCATTTGGGTCACCTCACTTAATATGCCTTCCGGGTCTACCCATGATCCTGCAGTTTCCTAACTTTGTCTTTGAAATAGCTGAGAAAATGCATACATAGTCATATACGTGACATTTTCATTATCCACTTTCCAGCAGATGGGCATTTAGGCTGGGTGATATTCCATTGCCATGGTACTTAGTGCAGCGGTAAGCATGGATTTGTGGATGACTCTGTGGCAGGAGAGAAGCCCTTGGGTACATGGCAAGAACTGTTTTTTTCTGGGTCATATGGTGGTTCTAATTTTATTTTACCATATATTTGTGATTCTATGAATGTTTTGAAAGTACTTTCTTAATTTTTGAGATTATAATTTAATTATAACATTGCTCTCTATTCTTTTTCTCATTCCAGACCTTTACATATACCCTTTCCCCATCTTTCAAATCCAAGAGCTCTTTTTTTTCACTCATCAGTTTTATGTGCATTTATCTACATACATATATATTCCTAAATCTACCCTGTGGAGTCCATATAATGTTTCTTGTATGTTTGTTTTCAGGACTGAGCAGTTGGCACTGGACCACCAGTTGGTGTGCGCTTCAGTAGGGAAGGCCGCCTCTCCCACTCCCAGCTTTCCTTGGCTGCCTTTGTGTAGGGTTGAAGCCTTCTGGATTTTTTTCATCCACTTTGGCATGTTCCTTAGTGTCACCCTTTTCCAGTTCATGTTTGGGCAGTCATGTTGGTGAGACTTTGCAGATGTAGCTTTAGATGTTACTAGAGAAATAATCTCTCATCAAAGTCCCTGATCTTAATCATATGATCCTTCCACTCCCTCTTCCACAGTGTCTCCTGAACCTCAGGTGCATGAGTGTTTTGTACATGTGTCCTTTAGGACTGTGCTCCAACTCTGCATTTGGATGGCTTGTGGCTGTCTGTAGTGGACAGTGGATTTCCTCTGTTGCAGCTCAGATAATTGCACAGTTTTACATTTCCCCCAGCAGTGGACAAGGCTCTCATCCCGACAGCCTTGTCATCATTTCCTGTCATTTATTTTCTTGATAATACTCAGGTTGACCCAGATGAGATAGAATTTCAAAGGGGTTTTAATTTACATTTTCCTGGTTGCTAAGGATATTGAACATTTAAGAATTATTTATTAGACATTAGTGTTTCTTCTTTTGAGTACTGTCTATTCATTTCATTAGCCTACTTATTGATTACATAGCTGTATGTTTTTTGTCCTTAATTTTTGCAGACCTTTATATATTCTAGATACCAATGCTTTCTACATACCAAGCCCTGCTGGGAAGGAGCTGACTGAGACTCTCCCATTCTGTAGGCTGTCTTTCCTCTCTGAAGACAGTTTCCCTTGCTGTGCAGATACTTTAATTCCATCCATTTCCACTTGTCAATTCTAGGGACTATTTTTTTGTGCTGCTAAAGACCTGTTCAAAAAGTGCTCAAGTAAGCTCACCATGCTTTCCTCTAGCAGCAGAGTGTCTTAAGCTTTAAATTAAGGTCTTTGACCCATTTTGAATTGACTTTTGGTCAGGGTGAGAGATTTCTGTACATCATCAAATTCATTTTGGGTTCAGGATCAAGACAGGCAATGCAGATAAACGAACAAAACTAACGACATCCATATGTTCTTCTACGAAAGCCCCATCAGTGCTGGTTAGCATATTGTGATTCTCATGATAATGTTTTGAGGAAAATAACTGACTTCAAATACTAAAAATCAGAGGTAGTACCGCATAGGCAGCTTGTCTTCGGTAGAGTTGGCTACATTCACGTCACCTAATTTCTACAAGATTATATTAGAAAGAATAATAGAAATGACACCAGCACTGATAATAGAAAGATGAAGAAATTTCACAGGATTATCATGGGAAGCAGAATGGAATAAAATACACATTTTTTAACAGCCATAATAAATACAGAAAATAGCAAAGAGACAATTTAATGATTTTTAAAGCTCATCAGAAGAACACAATCTATGAATTCCCCTAATCAAATAGTATGTATGCTTAGTAAATCTTCCCCTCTCATGCTTGTGTGAGTCTAAAAGTTATTGATTTTCTAGTTTCTATTATAGAATGGCTATAATATTGGGTACCCTTTCCAATATTTTAGATTATATGGTGTTGCTTTAATTTTTAGGTTCCATTAACTTTCTTGAAGCTTCTATTTTTAAAATTCCTTTTGTGGTTGCCAATTACAAAGTAAATAGAACCTGAAGCTTTATGCTTTCTGCGTTTTATTTTGTACCTTTCTATGTAAGTCTCCTTTCAGCTCTGTTCCTATGGCCTTCAAACTTGGAAAAGAAACACCAGTTATTTTCTTAGTGACATTAATTAAGTAATATGGATAGCAAAAAAAAAATCCAGGAAATCAATTAAGAACAATGTAAACTCTTAGCCAGAAAATCCTTTCATCTAAAAGGAAAATGGAGACTATGAGATTTCCATTCTGGAAAGAAATAAGAGTTAAAATAAGGTTGCTGAGTTTTCCCAGAAAACCTCTAACAGGGAACATTTATGATATATCATTTTATCAATACCTGTGGCTGTAATCTTCAAGGCCCCATTCCAGAGCAGGATGTGGTGATGGGGACAGCGGTACTTCATTCTCGGCCCACCCATCATTGGGAAGCAATAGGTCTATAAACAAGGAACAAATAAAGCTGTAGTAAGCCAGAGGGAGAACGATTCAGTGCCTACTTTTGTTTCAGTCCATCTCTCAGACACATAAACCAACTTGGAAATCAATAAAATTTCACCTGGAATGGAAGGTCTCACATGAATGCTCCCTGACTGAGATGGCCAGTGCCTTCTAGAGTGTATGCATGTGACCTACTCACTGGCCACTATGACATATAAATCTCCACCTCTCAACAACCTTTTCTTACCTGTGAAAACCTGGTGCTTAAATATATCCCTGATCTGTAGGAGACTCATAAAACATGTCTTTTATGCCTTAATATTTTTATAATTAAGGTTTTTTAATTAAGACTCTGAAATATAATTTAGGCATTTACCTGAGTGAGAAAAAGTATGAAGAAAAAGCCTTGAGACCCTGTATACTCATTGTTTGGAGAAAGCATGGGAGAAAGGCCAACTTTTTGTATCTGTGCTGTAAGGTCTTGTAAGCAAAAGACTGGAGTCTGAATTCGTGGTTTCCTACTGAACAAAACATGGCATTCTTCTACAGGCTCTTCATAGTGGAGAAATAACATGTACCCTGATCTTCACTGTTACTATTAAGAAATGAGTTCTGATGAGACACTGTGGGTTAGACATTATGCTAATCATATTGTTCACTCTGAACATCCTTTCATTTATTACAACAAAATGACTATGGATTAGAAGAGCTGAAGATCATATCCTTTTCCCTAAATGGCTCCCGAAACCCTATTGATAAGTTGTTAGACTGAGCCTCTGTCTGGACTTCAATGACTACAGGACATTCTTCTTCCATCAAGTTGCCACATCTATGACATCTGTCTTTACCTGTCAATGTTTAGTTCTGTGCACTACTGGCCTAAAATAAGTCCTGCATCACCTCTATCCAGTGCCATTATTGTGAAGACAGCTATCTATTGAGCTAGCAAGCTGTAATCTATTCATCAACAGTTCTCTAACTAGACTGAAGGTAACTTCTTCTTTGTCTCCTCTTTTGTCTCTTTCAGAACTGTTAAGAGTCTTATTATAGCCATCATTTTCACTTTTATTGTGTTCCTAGGGTCTAGCTGTTTTCCTCAGTGTGGTGATGGGAGCAGAGGCCAACATCATGTTAGTGTGGCTCTGTGTACAACATACTCTGTTGAACTTTCTTCTCTTGACCCTGACACCTTTGTTAAGCTCTGCACACGTGAACAAGCATAGAATTCTAATCTCACACAAATAATGTTTCTGGATTAACTGACTATATGAGTATATTCCCAATACACAGGCACCCACACACATCCCTGTGAATGCTGATAATGTATTTTCTAGTCCCTAAGTTATTGTCAGTTTAATGTCCCTCTTTAATTACCATATTATGTTTTTTTGTCTTGTGGAGTCCATATAGTCAAGAATAGCAGAGAGATGGATAAAAAAAAAAAAAAGCATGGCTTTAAACAGGATAAGAAAGCTATGGCCCTGGTCTGAAATTAGCTCAATATTTGTCCTTTAAATAAAATGTTGTTGAAAATAGCCACACTCCTTATTGGTACACTTATTGTAGTTGTTTCTGCACTACGATGACCAAGTCGAAAGAGCTTGATGACCCTGCTTCAGACTCTTCTTAAGGGCAATAATAGTGCTGCAGCACTGTACACACGCCTGCCTTCCTGATGGTATTTGATAACATAAAAATATCAATCAACATTAGTCAAACTGAGAAGGAGAATTCAATGTTCAATCATCATTGCAGAGGGCCTCCTGAATGGATGCAGAGCTGGATGGACTCTGACCCCCACAAAAATAAACATGAGGGCAATTTTATTATTTCTTCAAAACCCCACAGAGAACATGGATATAGTGGGACAGGGCACAAAGTGGAAATGTTGGATTTGAAGTAGGGAGGGAAGACCTAACAGTGGATGACGGGAAGGATGTGGGCAGTGGCTCACCTGAGCTGTTATCCGAGCTGGAAGCGGAGACAATGCAGGCAGAGTGTAAAGGAGTGGAGGGCAAGGGGAGAAGGGTCAGACCAGAGGTGGCTGTGCTGAGACTCCCTCCATCAGCATGAATCCCAGTGCTGGTGCACCTGTCCAGACTGGCCAGAGGCCTAAGCAGCTTACAGAAAGCCCCAGGGACACAGCCTCCCTCCCGCTGCTATCCCAGAGCACCACACTTCCTCCTCAGGAGGCCCAGCTAACAATTTTCCAAAACAAATCTGAGTTTTCTGCTGTTCCTATTTTACAAATGTTATTCTAAAAAATTCTTTTCTGTGTAACAGCTTGAAGAGAATAAAGAATAAAATGTAGAGCAGACTGTGGGCAGTATGTACTGCTATTACAGAATGGGATGGAACCCAGTATATCTATCAACTGTGGGCAAACTGTGGGCAGTATGTACTGCTATTACAGAATGGGATGGAACCCAGTATATCAACTGTGGGCAAACTGTGGGCAGTATGTACTGCTATACAGAATGGGATTGAACCCAGTATGTCAACACAGAGCCTTACACACACAAAGACAAGGAAAAGGGGAAGGAGGCCAGTTGATGTTTTGACTGTCCCAGTTTCTCTCCTTACTAGACATTACATTGTGTCAAATCAACCTTGTTCTGCTAAATGAGGCCCTTTTAAGTCAGTTAACCCCATCACAGTTCACAAGTCTCTGTCATGTAGCAACTTCACTGGCTCTGAAACTCAGGGACTCTTGGAATTTCTCAAAGTGCAAAATGTGAAGACTTGAAGAGAAGCAATGGCCATGCTGAGCGCAGGATGACAGTATTTTAATTCTAGAATCTTCATAAACCCTCTAAGTCAGTTGGCTTACACGAATAGTAAGCTTATCAGCTGGCCTCTAACTGAAACTGCCGTGAGTCCATGCTACACGAAGCTGGGTCTGTGCAACTGGGCGACAGGGTACAGACACCCCGGGATCTGATATTAGGCAGACTTTATTTCTTTCAGGCAGACAATGGTTAGCTGCCTAAGAGGCTTATGGCAATGACGTAGCCAATCTCGGTTACTCTCTTACAGTACCACACTACTCCATAGTGGACATTACCAGGAATTTTCTAGTGCAGATGGGAACGGTCTTAAAAGAGCTGGGATTTTCACACAACGTGGAAAGTCAAGGTAGGAAATGAGGCAGGCACCTGGCAGTGGGTTTTAGTGACTTTGTTCATTGTTGCTACTGCTGTTTCCTTCTCATTGGCATGAAAGCCGCTCTGTCTGCATCTATGTTTGAGAAGGACGAGAACATGGAAAAATCTTCCCAGAGATTATCTGTCATTGCTATAACCAACGAACTCAATTTTTTCAACACAGATAGAAAGCATAAAGAGTTCTAAGGATGTTTCTGTGTTCTACAAAGGAAGTATCTTCCTCCCCTGCTTTATGGACAGTAGAAGTGAAAGTCTCAAGATCTGTCCAGTTTACTTAAGGTAAGCCAAGACAGACTGAGTAATTCTTTTTATCTGGTTACAATGTAAAGTTAGCATTTCATAGACATTCTTAGGATCAGGTAGAAAGACTTCCATGTTCCGAGGGAACAAGAGAAGGTAGGGACTTTGCCGTGGCTGAGATGAACCAAAGCCAGGGACAGGAATTGAAGCCAGGCTCCGGGTTTATCAAATATGCATAGTGTTGGGTAAATTATTTATGCTCCCAGACCTTCTATATCTCCACCTGTAAAATGAGGCTAATAATATGACACACTTTGAATTTGAATGTAAATTGCTTAACAATATATCTAACAAACAGCAAATACTTGAAATAGAAACCTTGCAGAGGTATCCCTGCCCGCCTCCCCCCCCTGCAACATCTCATTCAGATGAAACAGTCTAATGCTGAGACAATCTCAGATTCACAAGTTCATTCTGATATAATAACATCAGAGTTTGGGATTTGTTCCTGTGCCATTATAGTTTGGTGACATCTGATGTGTCTTAAAACACAGGATCGATGGTAGAATGTTTATTGCAACCACTGCATATGAGGCTGTAGAATGTTCAGTGATATGTAGTATGTTCATCATGTGCTATAAATTGCGGGGAAAAAAATCTTAGAAATTACCTATGGTAAATTTCATTTTACTTGCATTTTATGCATACATATTTGCATGAAGAGAATATTTGAAAGATCTACATAAAATGTTATTGATTAGGAGCCATGATAGATAGAGGAATGAGTAATATTAAATTTTCTTTTTAATGCTTTCCTCTAAAATTCTTACAATGAATATGTATGTATTGCTTTTGCAATATAAAAAGTAAAAGCTATTAAAGAAGAAGAAAGAGGGAGATAAAACAAGTTTCTGGGTGACCTGGAGTGTAAGCTTGAAGGAACAATGAAGAAAATCCAGTAGTCCACTTGCAATGTGATCCATTCCAGTCATAAGCGAGTGTGTCATCAGACAACAACAGTCCAGCTGCCACGTCTGGCCTCAAGCTGTGCTGTTCCGCTACTTGTCACATCCATCTCGGACCCAAGCACAAGGCTGTGAGCCACATCTCGACCACGTTGTGGTGTCATGGAAATCCATGCGATTTTGAAGAGGCTTGGTAACTTTCAATGATAAAAATGATCTTCAAAAAACTCACAGTTTGCCATCTTTGATTCTCTAGCCATGGTTTGTTTTAAACAAAATCCTCATGTTTGGGGCAGCAAGCACAGAAACTGTCACTTAAACTGGAAGCCTTGCCAGGAATCCGATTCACAAGTTCTGAGTCAACGCTCTCACCCAGCCCTCAGTTCGCCTGACTCAGAGTGACAGAGTCTGCACTTCGCCTAATGAACTTGTCTTTGTCCCTGATACCTTTCTCTCTTCTAGTGAAAAGCCGTTTTTGTGGCTTCGTGCCCGATTCGAAGAGAATGGAAATGGAGAGACCTTACCTTTCCTTCTATTTTGTGGACTGTAAGTGCCAAACGGATACAATGGACTACCATCATTTCGCCTGGAGGTGCTCAGAGCTTCTTGACAGTTCTCAAAACTTGGCCTGGAAAGCACCCCACAGTCTGTAGGCTCCTAGGGACAGAAACAAAAATTACATTTGAAAAGTACATTTCAACTTGGACAGTCGAAGCGGAGTGCAACCATGGATGGCCCTCGTCAGAAGCCCCTTTCGAGTCTCTAGCATGTACGTCTTCATTCAAACATCTTTCAATGTGACATAAAGAGCACGGGCAATGTAGTGTTAAGGATTATGAGTGCTGATAGCCAACACAAAAGAGGATTAACTTTATTATTCTTCTCCCCCACTTACAACTGCCTTCTTTCAAATTCTCTTCCATCTGGGAGTACAGCTTGTGGCAGTGTCAATATGAGAATACAGTTCATGCCAAGGGTGTTTCTCTGCCAACCAGCTGGTTCCTCTCTCCCTCTGCCACTCTTTCTCCCTCAGTAAGTGCATATGCTCTAGGACAAATCGGTACCCAAGCAGTGTTTGTCACCAGAAAGCCACGATTGCGTCCTATTGCAGACCCCAGGCTTTGGCCGGACGCTAAAGCAAAGATCTATGGCAGGGCCAGGCAGAGGTTCTCCCGAGAGCCTTTTTTTCTTCTATATTTCTCTTTCCCGTTCAGATTCTGACAGTCAGTAAACAAACCCACAGTTCCCTGCAAACTGCTGCCTCCAGAATAACACCCCACAAACCATCCTCCGCAGGTGCTGCAGAGGTAGCAGGAGGTAGCTGACGACAGAGAACTCAGATTTTCAAGCGGACTGTGGCATAGCAGGCTGTCTTTCGCTCTTGTTCCTATTATTTGCCTCCCTAACAGATTTCAGGGAAATAAATGATTTGGAAGCCATTTCATAGCTCTTCTCTTGGCCATTTGTGAGAGGCACATGCCGTAAACACAGAGCTACTCCCCGAGCTCCCTCCTCCGGAAAGCATTTGGCTGAAACACAATGCATTTGATTCTACTTTGTCCTCTTTAGTTACAAAAAAAAAAAAAAAGAAAGAAAGAAAGTCAGTGTCTAGCTAAACAAAATATTTGAAGCATTTGGTTCTATTCTGTATCCTAAATAATTAAAATGTTTTCAGCTGCAGAAGGCTATTAGCTTTTCAGGAGGGTTCCTAACACAGTACTCGCACACATAACCATGTTGCCCTTGGCTGCTGTTGTGCAGGTACAGGAGACCAGTGAGTCCTAGCTTAACGCTGGAGCCCCAGCAGTCAGGTAGACGTAGGGCTCGCCTTGCACTGCCTTGTGTTTTCACTTCACAAGAACAACGAGAACAAAAACAATTTTTTTTCTGCTTTCCTAGCTCTTTGATAAATGACACAATCAATATCCCAACAACTGATCAGTAAGCAGCCTAATTAAAGCATCCAGCCTGTAAAACAGAGCTGTCGTGGAGGCCTCCATTAGTGTCCCAGCCAATAAAAAATATAATGGATTTTTAAACATGTTCTGCCTCTGTGAAGATGAGCTGCAGCAGGGAGGAAAATGTTTTAGGAAAGAGAAAAACAAAACCAGGTCATAACCCATTTTTAAATATCAAGTCTCTAGGCACAAACAGAATCACAATTCAACCTGAAGCTCATCCTTGAAAAAAACACGCTTCTGTTCAAAATGATTCTGATTCAATCAAGAGCTCATTATGTATTCTTCCTGAGGTTCTCATCAAAACTGTTTACCTATCTTGTACAACTGGGTAATGTGGGGGAAAAATAACAACTTTATATTTTGACTTTTCTTAAGTAGCATCTTCATTTCTTTTCAATATTGGTATAATGTTCCAGCAATTATGCTGGCATTCTTGCCAAATCTAACTAATTGATTTGCCCTGATGTGTGAGCAGTGCTTAAACCTCCTCTGGGTTATGGATGCGTTTCTATGGACCAGGGAGTACTTGCTGTTCTTTGGGAGAATAGACGGGAAGCCACTGTGCACAGCACACACTGTGCACAGCAAATGCACGACACGGTCAGGCTGATCCGGGAGCTCTCATAGCTGATTTTTTTAAATTAATAAAGATAAGCTATGCATTAGGCTTCTGACTTTGAGATCCTTTAATCTTCATGGCTACCACAACGATTCTCTATAGCTCAGAGTCCAAACGCCTGCTCATTTCCCATGGAAAGCACGTAAATATTGTGGCAAGAAAATGGAAAGAAAATTAAAAATCCTTGTTTAAATGTCCTCATAAAAATTGCTTCGTGTAACAGTAGTTCCTATTCCTGATCGATTCCCTGGTGAACTGTATTAACAAGACACGTCTGAGGCTGGGAATGAACTGAAAGGTGATACTTTCTTCGGATGGGATAATGCTGACCACATTCCACTCTGGACTATGGAATTAAAGACGGAGACACCACAGTAAAGAAAAGTGTTGACAGCGAAGAACCCCAGCTCCGTGGGCCAGGGTATGGTATCCACCACTGCCATTCATATCCACGGCCTTTTAGAAACAGACGTGGAATGGGGGAAGAGGAAAGGTAACGATACCTCTAGTCTATTAAAGACATACTCATTCTTTTCCCTTTTTGCTTAGCTTGGCCTCTGCATGAGTTCCTTTAACAAAGGTACCTCAGCTAAGGAAGAAGAATGGAAGGGGCTGCTAAAGGAAGCTATCGTACACAGATTACATGAGAAGGGGTGACTGAGTCCTCCCGGATTCCCTTCTTCACATCACTTTCCAATCCCAGGACTCTACAGGAAGGACCAAAGTACACCAGACAGGCTCTTTTCTCGTGTTAGGAAGCAGTAGATGAGGGCATTCAAACTATGTACCCAAGTGAAGCCCATTAAATATTCATGAAGACTCTGTCACTTAGGTAGACACACGTGTGGAAAACAAGCTCATTCATTATATATAGTCTTCAGTAATTGGCCAATTTACATTTCTTTAACATCTACAAGGTTATACACAAAGAGTATAGGAGGTACAGTTATTCTCTCCCAATAGTTGATAATATAGCAAAGGAAGAGATGGTCTATCATTTCACTATTTCAAGACCACCCTGTTAGATGAAGTGGGTCTCAGATGCAGCTTTTCCATTCATTTAGCAACATTTACTGGGAGCCGATCACATTTGGAGAAATGAAGCTCTAACGGTGGATAAAACAGGTACAAGTATCTGTTTTCTATACATCAAGCGCTTACATTGGCTGTGCATTTTCATGGTTGGGAAACAGCAAATTGAGGGTTTTAGCACAAGTAATCTGCATATAACACAAGGAGATCCACTGACAGATATTTCATTTTGATAATCTTTCATTTTTAAAATTTGGTTGAACTTACTACTAACACTAATGTGTGATATCAGTTTTCCAAGTAGTCCATCTCCTACTTTATATAGTGTAACAGAGAAACGTACTTTGGCCTTAGATACTATCCTAATATCATGATGTATAAATGTGATGATAGTTTGTCCATTTGTATGAACCGACTCATTTTTCCTGAAGTAATTGTTAGGAACATTTAATACTTAATCTTTTAAAACACTGTTTTAAGATCAGCTTTGTTTATAATTTTGTGTAAATGAAATGTTTGGGTATATCAGCATTTAAGAATTATTTTATACTCTTTTTATATTATATTATTTTATATTAAAGTTTATATTTAAGGGGGCATTTTCCATTCTTTTAAAAAGCACAATTATTAAAAAAGAAATAAGACTTCCATTTTTTAATAAAATAAAATGCTCAACAGATCAAACTTTAACTTAGTTATACCGCAGGACTGTATTAGCTATGTGTAGATTATAGGAGAGAATATAGATATTTAATTATATCCTAATAATCTTCACAATAAACACTGTATACGTCCATCTGACCAGGAACTTCCTAAGGTACAGGCATTGCTAGCATACCACCAAAAGTTGTATTAAGAAGGATGCTTTTTTAGTAAGTTCAGAACCCCTAGGAATTTCTGAACATAAGCCCTAGTAAACGCAGACCGGTAATATTTGATAAATGATTTACTTTATATGCATATTTCATACATTTTTATTATATCTAAAATATACAACCACCTGTTTCTTCAATATATCCATCTGAGTATGTCTGGACCATACTTTCCCAAGGACAGACTCAATAAATGTAAACCTACCACATGTGTGATTGAGTCTGCATATTCTGGTGACCATTTGAGCCATCTCAGGAAAGTCAAGAATGGTCTCACCTCCTGTGGTCTCTCGGGCCTCCTCAGTATCACCAACTGGATCATGCCACGGATGTTTCCCTCCATGGACATGGACCTCCTCAGGGTTTCCATGGCTTCATGGTTGGGCTTGCCCAGAAGAGATTCCCCATTCACAGCAACCAGCTGGTCATTCACTCGCAGTCGGCCATCCTGGGGCAGAGGGGAAAACAGCGTGAGACGAGAAAGCATGGTGATGACAGGTAGCTGGTGGGAGGGAAAGTTCAAGCACGAAGAAGAGAGAGTCAGAATGGAGGCGGTTCTGGACCTAGTCGAGCAGTCACAAATACGAACAATCACGATTTGTGTGAAAGGAGTTATTTTTAGAAGTCTTAGAGCAGAGAGAATTGTAGAGCTCAATAAATATCAATAAAAATGTATTAAAAAGAAATCAGAGTTCTGAGCTGCAATAATTTAGACATGTCTGATATTTTTTATCTAAAGCTCTGTCTGGCAAACATACGAATCTAGCACACTTCTGCGGTTTGTTTTGGTAAATACCCTATGGGGACTCGAGGAACCCGGGTTAGGAAACAAAGGCAGTAGCTATCTCCCACACGGAGGGTTTGCATTTTCAGGCATGGAAAGACGTGCTTAAAAGCTGTGCGCTCGAGAGTATAATGCCTCTCTTAGCTATCACTGCTAGCCTACTGAATGGAGAGAACAGATTCCTCATATAATTGTCTCTACCTCAAGCACAGACTGACTCATCAACACATCAGAAGAACACAGATGTGTGCAGTGAAGGACCAAATTGTCCTAATACCTCTGGCAGGAAAGCTTGACAAAGGGAGGGATTCCCAGACTTTTTCCCGGGATGTTCCAGCTAATAAACATTTTCGTCTAGCCCTGCTAGAAGAGAAGCCTTTTACCATTAAAGTTCCAGGAATCCCATGTGTGGAGAGTCAGCCTCACTCTTCTTCCCACTTTTCTTCATTCAGAGTCACCTTCGGCCAGAAGCCTTCGGTCAGTGAGGTCTCATCAGTGGCTGGTGAGCTGGGAGAGCAGCTCTTCAGGAAGCCCCTTCGGGCAGACCACAGTGCATCCCCTCCCGGGGAGAACGGTGTTTACAGGGTTTATAGACCGCTGAGTGGAAACTGTCCTATGCTACTTGACATGCAGAAAGTCAGGTTCAAATATAACTGGGAATCCTGTCCTGCTGCTGACGTTAATACATTTCACAAAAATAGAAGTGGGTATGCACAGTTCTTTACTTTTCCAGAGACTTCTTCCATATCTGCCTCCTGCGATGCTCACAGACCCAAGTTAAGGAGATTCGTGTTTTTATAAAATTTTCTACAAAGTAATCAGAATCGTGAATTCTAATTCTAATTTGCCTAGGTCACTATAGTACATTGGATGAGACTCACGCAAGCTTAGTTTTGTGAACTTTGGCCCTTCAGCCCCTTTCACTTCATGGCGTCAGTATAGTTGTGCAGTGCTTAACTAAATGCAAAAAAAAAAAAATCCTTGCAGTAAAAGGTAACTGGGATAGAAGTTCAAATGAACAGAATATAATGCAAAACTGAAAAAAAGGGAAAAAAAAACTCCCTGAGAAATGACCAAAACAGACACACAGTATAGGCTGGAAGCTAGTCATTGAGCCTCAGAGAGAAAACCCGTGGGGTGGTTGATAGGCTTGGACAAATACATGGGCAGATGGCTGGACTGTTCCCTAAGGAACAGGGAAAGTGACAAAGTGACAGCTGTTGGTCTAGAGAGCATTTAGAGATGTCCTACACATCACCTGGTGGATGGAGTCTTGGCAACACAGGACTGTAGAGGCCACCCAAAGGAGTACACGCTCACACAGGAAGAGCGTTGAGATGGCAAGGCATTGGGATTAGTAGAGAGTGCGTAAGATCAGATACAAACTGTTCCAAGGCCTGTCTCATGGGAACTTAATGTCTCTCCCTCTGGCTTCGGAACTTCACGTAACCTTTCCCCTAATTAACCAAAAAAGAAATTGCCTCTTTCTGCTATCCAATTGTGAATTAGGCACACAAAGAATAGGATTAAGCCTCTGTGAAATGGTGAGGAGGACCACTGGGCTGATCTTGTCACTGAAATTCTCCTAATGTAGCTGACGTGCAAATTTTAAAGTTGAGGAAGAAGGAGAAGGGTTGGATCTGGGCACTGGCACTGTTACCCGGAAATGAGCCATGTTAAGATCTGTAGAGGTCAACTGGGAGGGCACCTCATCCTCTATGACAGGAAGAGGAGCAAAAAAAAATTGAAGGAATCTGAGAAAGAATTTAATGACTGGGAAGATGCAAGAAGAAAACAGTTGTATAGAGAAGCTATACCAACAGCTATTAACATAAACCTATTTCTAGATGCATTCTAGGTTTCACGCATCAAGTAGGATATTTTTAATATATTCAAGTCCAAAACAAAAGACAGGTCAGCCGACTCACCCCAGGGCCCCTGGAATTGTTGTTGTTGTTGTTGAGATGTTCACATTTATCACATATGTCACTAGAGAGTTGTGGTCACAATAAAAACCCACACACTCTTGTTTGTAGGAGTGGCTGTCCTCTTGCTATTGGTGTGTGCTTCTTGTTCATAAGATAAATGACGGGTAATTTCATTAATGGCAATGCCAGGAAGACCACATTGTCTTGACATTTAGAATACCATCACAGAGCTTCAAGCTTAGAAAGGTCCGCAGAGGCCATCTGGTCCAACCTCTCCCATTTACAGACGGAGAATATAATGCTCCAGTAAGACGAGGCATCGTTTATCTAACACCATATATATTAGGACTGGCTCAGCTGGTTAAGTCAAAGTTGAAAAAAAAAAATAAAAAACAGAACAGTCCAAGTCTTGAATTCACTAGTATTTCCCAGGCATGTGAATAATATTTACTTATCTGCAGAGGGGTATTGCTCCAAGAAAAGTCTTTCAAAACTGGGGAGAAAATACTCTTTAAGTGTCTGCTGGACAAGAGCAGTGTTTGAAATCTGGGCACATACCTGGCACATGCATGCAGGAAAGTATAGGAGATGCCCAAGCATGGGAGCAAACTGGAGGAAAAAAGAAAGATCTGCTTCCTAACTACATTATCTAAAGACATCATCTCAAGTGAAGTTGCTTGAACACAGAACTTGCTACTCAAATTCAAAATACTCCTGAAAATTAAGAATATCTTTTCACTTTGAAATGATTTTCACCAAGGAGATTAGTTTTCTATGACATTTTTCTGCTACTATTATATTCAGATAGATATTTGGTCATGAGAGTTAAAACATACAACTTTATATAAGTGAATACAAATATCCAAAGATGCTACTTAGTAATTTTAGCATATCTACTTCATCACAATCTGGGTAATGCTTACACTTTTCCAAAGGAATAAAACTTGGGTTTGCAAGATGGCTAAGATGGTAAGAACACTTGCCATGTAATCCTGGTGACATGAGTTCAGTTCCTGGAACCCACATAAAGGAACTAACTACACAAAGTTGTCCTCTGACCTCTACATGTGTGTCATCGCATGTATGCTTATATATACAGACATCATACATACATGTGTTATATAATAACAGTAACAATCATAAATAAACAATTTTAGAGACAAAGGAAATCTTTCCTATATTACAGTCAGTAGAACCCTAAGCAAAAAGACCCAGTCCTTAGCTTTGGCACAAAAGCAATGCTGAGGGAGTAAGAAAATGGGAATAACAAGTACCAGCGACTTACTTGGGGTACTTTAGTGGAGATATGAAAAGCCTAGATGAGTTATAAGTTCCTTTCTTATCTGTGCCTGGGATGGCTTAGAAAGGCATCAGTCCTAACTACTTATCGTAAACGGAAGGGTCAAGGGCTCAGAGACCAGGAGCATTAGCAACACACCTGCCTTCTGCAGAGTCTTTGTGGAAGCCTTTTGAGTGGCCTCTGCTAATCATTTCTTCCAATGATCTTCCTACTATATAAGGATGTAAAGATAGAGGATTGGTTATAGTAAATGATTTCAAAAGGGTCTTAGCGTGGCCAACTCTTCTTATCTCTCATCTCTTTCATTTTCAAAGACAAGATCTCAGCTTGTAGAACAGGCTGACCTCACTATGGAACTTACTATATAATCCAGGCTGGCCTCAGACTCAGCAATCCTGCCTTGACCCTCCAGTGATGAGTGGTGTGGGAAGTCCTTCGGTCAATGTGTGGCTTTCATTGGTTAATGAATAAAGCTAATTTTGCCCAGTGGCTCAACAGAGTAAAGCCAGTTGGGAAATTCAAATAGAGATGTAGAGAAAGAGTAGGTAGAGTCAGTAAGATGCCATGTTGCCACCAGTGAAGGAGACTGAGCCTGGTGGTAAAATATAAAATAACAGAAATGGGTTAATTTAAGATGTAAGAGCTAGCTAGATATGAGCTTAAGCTATAGGCCAAGAAGTGTTATAAATAATATAGTTTCTGTGTGATTATTTCAAGTCTGAGCGGCAAGGAAATAAATGAATAGTCTCTGCCAACAGATGAGGATGTGTATGAGCTCCTACTGTGCTATTTTGATTCCAAAATCATATTTCTAGAGATGATTAAGGGTACTAAAATATTAATAAAACAACTAATAAGCTTCTACAATGTAGTCACTATGCTTAAACTCTCTCAATGCATGAGATAATTGAAGCCTTATGATAACAGTACTTTTTAAAAAGAAATTGAGGAGTTGAATGAATTGTTACTAGTCATGTTCTGTGAGAAGATCTGAACCAGGTCTGGGTCACTCTGGAGTCTTGTTTTCAGTCCCTTTGCTAATAATCCTTAAACTTGATGGATTCTTAGATCTCTCTGAGGCTCTAATAAAAGTTACATATCCTAGTCTCATCAAAGCAAACATTTATACCAGGGTTTCTCTGTGAGTCCACATTTGGACCAGATAATTCTTTGCAATAGGGGCTGTCATGTGTTATGCGGGATATTTCAAGTGCCTCCCGCAGAACTGCCATGACGTTCAGGGGAACTGTGACTTTCTAGTTCAGCTCTTAGTGATCAGCTCTTGAATACTTCCTCTGTTCTGAACTGGTGATGTCACACAGCTCCACGCACTGCCATTAGTCTGCTTTTCTAAAGCCCCTCCATGTAAAGTCGTAACGATGCAAAGGAGAGACTAAGGAAGTCTATGCAAAGAGGACTCTGCAGAATCTGAGAGA